TAAGGACAGAGATACAGGCTCTGGGAAGCTGGCCCAGGCAGGGTGGTACAGACAGGCATGGCACCAGCCTCATGCTGAGAATGTCTCTCTGTCTTCTTCAGAGTCATCACTGCCTGCCAAGGGTCAAAAGAGCCAAACTGCTACTGCCAGCTCCTTCCAGAGCAGTCCCAGCCAGAGGGAGCTACTAAAATAGCACATCCGGTGCTTGCTGGATGTATCTACAGAGATGCAGTGCTCATGTACCAGTTTCTCCAGCCTAACTCTGACACCCTAGGGGAACGGTAAAGCACTGGAAACACACCTGGCCCTGCCAGACCTGGAACAAGCACAGGTATAGGCAAAGAGGAAGAACAGTCTTACCAAAGAAGTGCATGGCCTCCTGCCATGCACTAGAGCCAATCCACTTCAGTGCTGTTAAGAGTAGCATGCTATGGCATGCTTCAACTGCGGAGAGAAAGGAAAAGAGCAGAGAACAGGAGAGAGGGCTTCGTGAGAAACTAGCTTTACAAACAGCAGATCCCTCCATTCCTCTTCTTTTTCACTATATGGCAACTGGAACAGTCTGAAGGTACTCTAAGGATATGCAGTGTAGACATGCACTGGTCGTTTCACAAGTCCCTGGGAGATGTGAGCAAGGCAACAAGCACATATCAAAAGTAACAAACAGCCACACATATCATGAAAATGGGAGGCAAAGAGACCCTCAGCGAGCAAAAGGCTCTAACACGAGCTTATTATCATTAGACACTTGAGAACTGACACAGGGTAGAGCCCACAAAATCACCACACACAGAGCAAATGTTTCAATCAGAGTTCAGTCAGCCACATCAAAGGACACTATGGAAAGAGATCTGTGCAAAAGATGAATCTGGCCCCTAATCTCTGAAGGAAAAACACGTGAGCAGACAGTTCTCAATTATAAGCCTACTAGCTAAACCATTAGGGTTGACTCGATGTAACACAAATGATTTGACCCATGAATTATGTCTCGGGTGGTAGTTTCAGAGAAGACCAACATGCTTTAACCCGAGAAAGGAGCAACTCCAACAGAGTTAAAATACAATAAAAAAATCAAAAGACAAAAGATTATAAAGCTTCAAGTTTCACTTGAACCCAGCAGAAAGGAAACTGCATTTTTAACTATTTACCTAAAACAACCATTCTGTATCCATTGAAAATAACATGTTTTTACTATTAACATTATGAATACAGTAAATAGGATTACAGTCATGTGTGGATATACTGTAATTTCTTATTTCTCCGTGGTACAGTTGCATCATCTAGTGGACAAGATAGAGATTGCACTAGTTTTGCTCTAGTTTTACACTAGTTTTACACAATTTAGTTCCAGGTTCATTAAATATCTTTGCATTTGCACCCAATATAGCTCATTGTGGTGTCTTTTAAAACTTAATTCTGGCATTACAGATGTCTTCAAAAACATTCAGAAGTGAAACATGGAAATGAAATTTTTTCTTTCCACTACAGCCTGCAATAGACTGATATCACCTCAGCTTTGTTATAAATAAGAATAAAATCAAGGTCCTCTAGATAATTTCAGACTCTGATTTGTAGCTTCCCTGCTTTTGTACTGGCATGATAAAAATCATGAATTTCACACGGTTCAAAATCAGTTGCTGGTCCAAACTTGCATGGAAAATGATGCAAAATTTATAAATCCGAAACTATTAGCTTTTTGGGGACTATTTCCTGCAGTCCTGAAGTTCATCATCTTCATCTCTATAGTCACAGATGCAGTGAGCGCACACAGTCACTTCCAGTTACGCCAAATTTTGGCATTTTTTAAAAGGGTATTAATTTACCTTCCAGGAGGGGAGGGGTTACTTACCCTGGGAAAAATCATTTTTTAAAGCTGTTTCTTTGGGAATGTCATCTTTGAAATGTTTTCATAGTGTACCTAAAAGCTTTAATTACCAGGGTATGAGAGTTGATACTCCCTTATCTTGTCCTGAACAGACAGGTCTAAATGCACTTAGCAATGATGAATGATCTCCACACATCATAGCTGAAGAAAATTGTAAACTAGAAGCCACTTTCTGTAGGAGATCAAAGAAAACCCATGCCTTATTTACAAAATTTGACACAGGAAAGACAGTATCATGGGATTTCATGTTTATCATGTTTCGGCAACTTCAGACTGAACTAAACCAGTTCCCCACTCCCATCCCCAAAAGATCAAATTGTGCTATTTCTGCCTCACACTCTCATCACAAGAAATAAAACTTCTCTCATTACACCTACCCAAATCCAGTGTCTTCACCGCAGTCACAGAATGCAATCCTATTTTTGCTCTTGCTGAGTAATATTGTGGATATACGAGCCAGAAGAGAATCTAGCTCACTACCATGGTCTACACTAATTTTTGCATTGCTAATGGTAAAAAGCTGTGTTTTTATTCCTAGTGTTGCGGAAGTTTGCAGATCTGATTTGAAAGGAAGATAGAAAAAGGGAAATACCATATATCTTTCCACAGTAGGATCATGGCTAAATCCCTTTTCAAACTAACATATCCAGAGCCAAACGTTTACAGCAAGTCACTAAAGCTAAATGATTAAGTTGTTAGCAACTCAAAAGAGCTCTAGTTAAAGCAAAGGCTAAGAATAAGCATCTTCACTCTGAAAACTAGCTTTAGTGTTCTCTAAGACAGTTAGAGAGCATTCCCCAACACAATTACTTCCTCAGGCACCCAAGCTCTTAGACCAGCTTACAATGGCCTGTCTTGCACATAGTTTAGGTTTGATTCAGAAAAGAATTTAAAGTGTTGATGATTAGGAATATATATATATACAAATGCTGAACCACATCCTATGTCACACTTGTTTACTCCTGTTAAAAATATATTGCTATTGATGTGCATTATAAAAGCACCAGTTCCAATTCCATAATTTATTCAGGCAGGATCTTGCCTTTGACATGTAATACATGGCAATCTGGACACCTCATGTCAGAATACTTGCTACAGTGCTTAAGGTAAAGCTGGGGGCTTACTGCAGTGTTTATATTCAAGAGACAGACAAGCAATTCAGACTGCCCACTATCCTGCTCTCCCGGAACCTCTTCCTACAGTCCCTCAGCGGAGCGTAGGAGTTACAGAAGTTGAACCTATATTTAAGCTACCTGATGTAAACGCAACCTACCCTGAAGTATTTAAGCAAGTAAACTTCTGTCAAACTAGTGTCCATCTTGCAAGATCCATCATACAGAGGTTGTTCTTACAATACCTACCTCCAGAAAAAAAGCAAAATCCACTTTTCTTCTTCAATTATAGCACCATCTTATCACAGAATGGTCTCACAACCCCTAACTTAAGAAAAAAACCACCATTCAGTATTCCCAGCACACAGACCTGGACGCTCAGCTGAGTTAAGTCAGCATGGCCCTACTGACTACTGTGGGACTATGCAGATTTACTGTAGCTGAAGATCACATCTTCTGTTCTTTAGAGAATAAAGAAGATCTCATTAAATGTATCTAAAGGGACAACTAGCCCAACAGTAATCATTAAAACAGCAGTACATGCTCAAAGGAAGAGTCAGTCCTGCTAGCCCCGTACTGTTTCCCACACCATCAACAAATACCTTGAAAGAGCAAGCACAGGTCAAGCACATACAATATTTACCACTAGTACCCTCCCAGCCTCCAAGCATTTTGAGAACAGGGAACATCCTAAAACTGAAGTGGTTTGTCTGGTTAGTAACTGTCAACAGATCTGTCTTCCATGCCTTTGCATAGTTTCACCTTGAATCTATGTAAACTTTTTGTACCCATATCCTTTAGCAACCGGAAGTTTTGTTTCCAATACTGTGAAGAACTGCTGCCTTCTGTTAGTTCTGACCACCACTTCTCCAAGCTACTGAGCTGTAGAGATGTTCACTGGTACACAAGGACCTTTACATGAGCTGATGAGGATCGCCTTTGGTGGGGTTAGTAGAGACTGCACACCCATATCCAAACAGTTATCTCATCTGGCCCAGGAAGTACTTCGGAATAGGACCAGCCAGCGTAAAATAAAGCAGAGTCAAATCTTTTGCAGGAGTTAAAACCACAATTTAAGCAAACGTGAAACTAAGTTAGTTCAAAGGAAGGAATACATGCATTTCTAGCTCCTTGAAGCACTCCAGTTCCTTTTCCAACCCATTCACCCTGCCCTCTGCTCTGATACGTAGAGTAACCACTGTCAGCATGTCTGCATGAGCCATACAGACAGCCTGAGACTACAAAAGAATCTCAGTGCACTAGGGTAAACAAGGTGGAAAATAGCTTATTTTCAGAACTTCTGAGGATATGAGACTAGCATCTCAAAATCGAGAACTTCTGTCTTTCATGGCACGGAAACTGAGTAACAGCAAACAGCTATAATTCTCTTTTCCCTCAGCATTTTGAACTAAAACTAATATATCCTTACAGGGAAGGAAAAGCCCTTTTCAGAGTTCCAGGATCTGGAAACGTGAAGGGACAGAAAGAAAACCAAAAAGGGAGATAAGCTGAAGAGCTTCCACATGCCTCAAAGCAATGGCATGAGATACTGGCACTGGACTGGGATACTGGTGAGATGCAGAAGCAACTTCTGGAGATGATGCACACATAGATAATTTGCTTTAAAAAATGTTTCACATGTTCACGTAGTCTTATACACTCAGTAACTACATTTTAGGAGCAGCAGTTAACACAGGAAAGCTATCCAGATACACTTCCTGTCCCAAATTGATCAATGGAGAAAAAAAAAAAAAATAGGGAAAAGCTTCAGAATCCTCAAATCCAAATAAGTTTCCACAGTAACATTCTTGTTTACTAGGTACCAGAGAAAATCAGAAATTGTATTTGTGCTTGAATATTTCTTACCAGTTTTATCTTGCTGCGCTTTTTTCTTTAAATGATGTCATGACCTAAAATGCTCTCACTGCTGTATACAATTCCATTTTTTATTAATAAAAGCAGATATAGTCATAAAAAATGAACCAATATATTTATAAAAACAACCGGTCTTTAAAAGCACATTTCTTGAAAAAAGCTAAAAATATGAATGAAAAATTCTGTCAAATTTGATACTCCATACAACAGAAAATAATCACAACACGAGCACCACTAAAAATAAAGTTTATAAAGTATAAATAAGAGTCCTGCTCTGAATGTGCTTTGGAGAAGCCTCCGTCTTTGCCACCTAAAGGCCCCTGCTTTAGGCAGAACTAGATACTGAAGGGCAGCTCATGAGACTATCCCCTTCTCAACAGGATAAGAATGTTTCTCAGTGTGATTACCAGAACAGAAATAGAACAAATTGCCAGGTGATCAAAATACAAGCAAGAAACAGTTCAAAATGATGCATCATTTCAGTTCACGTTCTGAGCACGAGGAGTCAGAACACAGACAAGTGAATCTAGAGAGAGCTTTGAGCAAAGGAGGGAAATTCATACTTGATGGTGATTGAAGCCCAAATCTTCAATAACAGTCTGTTCAAGAAACACTTGGGCTGAAACTGAGAAACAGATGTATTGGGTTCACAATAGGACTGACTAACCTCTGATCTAGTGCACACCTACTGCTCCAGCAATGAACAGACACCAAGTGAACTGCTAAATCTCAGGGACACATACAGATGCCAGGAAAAAGGTACAGATCAGCGAAGGGCAGATAAAAGCAGCTCTGCCCTTTCCCCTCTTTGACACGTGCCAGAGATCAAACACACACTGAGGAGTATCTGACTGACTTCATGATCCATGCTGTAGACCACTGAGAGCTGTACACTGTAGGACTGCGGGAGCTCACAATCCTGGGGGCTGCTCAAATTACCCTAGAAGGTGTTTTGCTCACAGCAGCCATGATTTGGATGAGATGTAAGGAAAGCCACCTCTGCTCCTCCCTACCCTTTGGGCAACCCTTTGTATTACTGGAGAAGTTCAGTAAAAAACAGAGTAAGACTCCATATCCCACATGACCTGTAAAAAAAACTAAGCATATTATGAGGACGTTCTACATTATTCTTTGTTGCTTAAGTCCATTAAAAACAGTCGAGCCAGACAGATCCATGGCAAATGAGATCCAAGCAGCTGCAGCTATCAGTTCCAGACGGGTCAAGCTGTTGCTGTTTCCAAATTGCACAGAATCTCTGCTGATTTTTGTAGAATCTTCAGTTCTTCCAAGCGTAGTATTTCTACCAAAGCCAGGTTGGTTTTAAGGTTCTCTTTGTCCCTTTTCAACTGGGAAATCTGAAGTTAATAAAACTGGTAAGAAATTACTTAAAATTCAGATTATTTAATACAGGACATGAACAGACAATTCTGGAAAGCTAATTTGTGTTAAAGATTCTGTGCAACCATGTTCGCCACCTGGTTCGGCTCACGCTCTGTGCACACATGTGCTTCCTTTGCCAAAAAAAATATTTTCATAACCCTTTTCAATGATAGCTATCCAGCCTGGCATCATGTACACAAGTTTTTTGCCAAAATTCAGAAAGGAAGGAGAGATTGTTTTAAGAGAGCTGTTACCTGGTCTGGCAGATCTTCCTTAGAGTCTAAGACTGGCTGACAAGGGCAGTTCATTTGGCTTGACTAGCTCTAATGAGCACAGCCTTCACCTTCTGCAACAAGTGCACCCACAGTAGGTCTGCACTATCTTCTGTTTCCACGTTATGTAAGTCCACGTTCTCTTCTAAGAGGTTAACCTCAACAAATGCATTCACATAGCGGGCAAAGGAAGGCTAAACACTTTTAGCCTGTTACAGGGCTTTGGATAAGTTTTGTAACATGATTCCTTTTTCTGCTGCAGCTTCAAATTCTGCTGAGCAATTTAGTGATGCTAGTTACTCTGGTAAACAAATCTTATATCTCCCCAGCGAAGTCAATACCCTCTCCTCATTCTGTTCTGACCCCTGAAAATTACACTACCGTACATTTACGCTAGGAGAGAAAGGGCTACTTTGTTCTACTAACCAAATTACCTGGAGAAGGGCTTGCTGTGTCTCTTCTATTAAAAAAAGGCATATGTTTTCTGCTACATTCAAAGCCCGCTCTTCGTTTCTGGCTGAAATTACATCACCAAGCAGCGCTCTCTTCCAGCAAGTACTAGAACCAAAACATTTGAACAACACACAATCATTTGCTATATTCCTCAACTGAACAATAAACCAATGGCTATGCTAAGACCTAACATCATTGTCATAAGGCAAGTAAGGTTAACATACATTAAAAAGGCACACAGCGTTCAGATATCAACCTGATAACGTAAGGAAAAGAGAAGAGAGATTTAATGGTCTGCAGCAGCGGTTCCAAACTTTGCTGGGATGACACTCCTTCCACTCCCACCCCTTCAGCCAAGACCGCAGTCTGCACTTAGGCCAATTCTTCTGGGCCTTACTGCTCTGCCACGCTTCCACCAACTTCACCACCACCTTAGCATGGAGTAAAAGTTAATCACATTCAGTTAGAATTTCTTAGCACGGCTTCTGCTAAACTTCACCTCGCATAATGACACACTTCATGGGCTTTAAACCAGTGTCAGAGGGGTTTAGTTGTAGATCTTAAAATCAACTTATTCCACTCAGCAATGAATCTTCAAAGCATAGATGGTCATCCAAATTAAAACGATGCGAAAACATTTTTTTTAAATTTATTATTATAAACAATGTTCAGGTAACCACTTTCTATCAATACTGGTTGAGGCAAATTTGTCATTTGGAATAAATGATCAAAACTGTACTGAGAATCACTGCAAATGAACTTCAGTAACATATTTAGCCCTAAAATTTCAGAAGCACTCTCTGGAACACACGCCTCAGAGAAATCAAGCAGGATTAACAGCATTTACAAGTCCCTCAAGCCAACATAAAAATGGTCTGGAGTCTGAACGTTCCAGAGTAATATCCAGTTCTTGAAATAGAGATGGAAAACAATAGTGTATGCCTGCTGTTTAAAACAGGAAATAAAAGACCAAAGCAACAAGTAGGCCATGACATTACATTATATACTCTCTTTGGCCCATCTTCTTTGCCTCTCTCACTTGTAGTCAATGAGATTGTCACAGAAGAAGATCCAAAACAATTATCACAGTACCTCATACATGCAGGCAGGAAAGAATGAGCAAAGGAAAATGAAACATGCACATTTTCTAAATATTTATAGAGGACTGAAACTTACAATTCATCTTCTCCAAGACTTAGTAATTTGAGGGCTGTAAGGAGTCTCCAAGATGGTCCATCCCATCCAAAGGTCAAGTTTCTAAAAAAATCAGAATTAACAATAAGCAGTAAGTATATGTGATCTTTCACAGCATGACAACCATGTCCCTGACAAGTGTCATTGAAGAAATAGTTTCTGGTCTTAGGGAATATAGGATTCCCAAACTCCCCTTATTCTGTTGCTATCCACAGCTAGGAGACAGATTGGACCTTGAAGCCTATCTTAAGCTTTGATACTGGCATTTACCACTTGTATGCTCCTCCCCAAACAGCAAGTTTTTTGTTTGTTAAAAACCAGGTAATTATTTTATGCTGGATTTTGACAATAGAAGCAAAATCTGACTCCCAGAAAAAGTGAAATGAAAGCCCACACTGAACCAGAAACCTACTCTAAAAAATCATGATCCTTTAGAATGGAAAGTTTCGCATTTCTCTGGCTGTCCAGTGGTGGAAAATATCTGAGGAGAGTATCTGCACAAAAACACATTTTAAAAATTTAAATAAACGCTATGCAGGAGAAACCACAATCTTCAACTCTGAAATAACCATGTTTTCCAAGTGCCTACAGGACAACAATCAAAAACTGCTACATTTGAGTGAACTCCAATATAATCAAAAATTAAGTTGAAAAGTGCTCATTGCATCTCAAAAGCGATCAGCAATCTGTAGGATTGCATCCTTTCAACAGAAACCCTGACTCAAACTGAAGCTGATGAAAAACTGTCAGTAACTTCAATTATCGAGGCCCCGGGGCTTCAATCTTGAAGCCAATGATACAGTCTAAGATATCCATTTGGAAGCCTTACATAAACGCTGAGTAAGAATCACAATTTTACGACAGGCAAAGTTACCAAAGAACACTTTCAATTAGAAATCTCCAGTCTCTAAGTTCTGTGTAGCTCAAAGCGGTATCAAGCACTATTCCACTTCTTGGAATTGCACAGATTTTGATGTTACTAAAAATAAATATCACAATGCCTTAATATGCATCATGCATATGTGCACTGGGCATATAAACGCAAGTGTGTGAACTTCTTCACTATCCTTTAATTATTCCTTTTACCCAGATCTGCTTTTGAAGAGATACAGCATTAACATGCTCCGACACTACTCTCCACTGTTCTACCTTTCAATGTCAAGATAATCTATAAATCCAACCTGATGAGACATAAACACTGCTGTGTGGGTTATCAACGGCAACAAATCCATATTCTAGGAGGAGTCGCTGGTTATCATGAGGCCCATAGCAGATAAACACTTCTTCGTATTTCTTGCACTGTGAATCTGTCCTAATTTCATACCTTTTGGTCTGCTCATTAAATGCAGCCTCTACCTTTGAGAAATTAAAAATAAGATATTTTACTTTATGGTAGGAAGAGAGGGAAAAAAAAGGAATCAGATCTTGAACATTAAAGACCAACAGTATTGATCTCTTCTCTAACACTATAACAAAAGGATGCAAACAACTAGTGTTGCAGATGTCTGAACAGGCAACTGATTTGATGGATTCCACACCAGGATTACCCTATAAATACTAATATGAAGAACAAATACCAAAACCTTAGTCTGCAAGATGCACTACCCACCCTGTAGACAGACACCACAGAGCTACAAATAAAGATGGCCTCATGCACAGCTGGCCACTTCCGTGCTATCCCAGCTCTGTGCTGCCACACAGTCCTCGTCATGAGGTGCAACTGCTCTATACATGGCATTTTCCTCAGACTGCACGGGACCGGCTCTGAACCCAGAGACAAAGGCACTATGCAAGTCTTTAGACTTGTTGTAGGAGCTGAGCCTTTTGGGAGAGCACAGCAGGGCTATTTACAAGTGGTTCTTCCCAGTAGCTACACCGGAGCAAATCTCACCCAGCCATTGTGTGTCCTCCCAATACCTCTGCCTCACTATGTGAACTAAAACGTTGCAATCATTACGATTCAACTGTCCCAGGCTGAATAACAAGTTCCAGGGTATATACAAACTGTGCAGACTCAGCCTGCTGGTGTTCCCCAGATAGACAATTTCCCCACTCTGCCATCTCTCACTGAACTCCAGACACTCTTAATCGGTCACATACAACACATACCGTACTGAATTAGTGCATTTACAAATAAAGAAGTTAAGTGATCTATTTTTAGTCTCTTACCTGAACATTTGGGCTGTGGTTTAGCAGATCTAAATATGGTGCCAAAGCATAAACATCTGGCTCAAGAGAGAAACATGCCTTCTGTGAATGTTTCATGTACACCGTTCTGGTATTAATAGTGCACCAAGCCCACTCCAGGGCACTGTAGTTAAAAAGAGCCTCTGTGTTCTCAACAAACAATGGCTGCAGGGAAGAGAAAAAAGCCTTCGAAGACACGTACAACTCACGGACCACTGTTCTCTGCTCCTGAGCTTTCTTTCTTAAAGGTTCAGGAAGAAGGCTTACTACATCTTGCTCCAAACACACAGGGCAAGTGTATGTCTTGGGTAAAACATCGAGATACGGCTTCCACAGAGATTTCTCACCAGCATGCTTCTCTGCTATTAAAAACGTGCAGAGTGCTATCAAAGGAGATACAGGAGGCTTCCATCTATGAAAAAATAAAATTATCAACACAACAGATACACAGAGGTAAGATAGGAAATGGCTGCAATAATATGTTCTCTCTCTTCTAGTACTTTTAAATGTAATAAATAGCTTCTATTTAAATTTCTTTGCAATTCATCTCCAGGTCCTTGTGACGGATTCAAAGGGGCTTTTGAGTTCATTTTATTGAGAGACTACAAAAATTGGCTTTTAGGAGCAATTTCAGGTTTACATTTGAGTTTTTGGTAAGGTTTTTTTAAGACACAAAACAAGTACTCAATGTCCAGTACGGGCCTTTGTTCTGAACCTTCTAAAAGGCTGTGTTCACATGAGTGCTTTTTAACCTCATTTTATTCCCTTCTCTTATTGAAGCCTATTCAAAGAATCCCAAGAAATCATGAATAACTGGCTGAAGTCACTTTCATCCAAGCTGGCTTTAGGGGCAGGCCAACTTCAAGCCTGGACCACCTGCCTAGCTAAATGGGACTGCTCTGTGTCCAAATCTTTCTTATCTGGACATTCCACTCACATGAAAGACCACAAGAAAGACTCCTACAGGTTAGAGTCTGCAGTTTAAAATCCTACTACCACTTAATACGATTCATCTACTAATGAGCAACCCACAGAAAAGGCCAGCTGAGAAAGTCTTGTTTTCCTTTCTTGCCATAAATGTCACTTTTCACTTACTTTTTAATGTATTCTCCTAAGCAGCTAGTAAGTACAGTGCCTGTGGTAAGTAAGCATTTTTCAGGCAATGAGATAACCAGTTCCCCTGCCTGTGAGGTGAAAAAAAAAAAAAAAAAACAAATAAACACACACAGACACACATATGCACAAAGAATAGTAAAGGTCAAGTGTAAATGACTCTTCTAGTAGGTGATTTCTGAAAGCAGAAACATTCCCCAGAGAATACTAATGTCAGGAAGCAAAAGGATGTGATGTCATTGATGGAAGCCGTCATGGTTTTAAGACAGTCACAGTCCAGGGAAGGAGATGACTGTAGTCGATATGAACTGTTGCTGGTAGAAAGTTACCCTTACCCGTTCACAGAGAGTTTGGTGCCTGGCTGCTCAGCACCCTCACCTTCTTTGCACTGAGATATACTGTAGATTAGATCTTACAAAGACCTGGACTTCTATCAGCACAACACATATTTAAGGCCACGTTTACCCTATCGTTATTCGCCAAGCCTACGTCTGTGTAAACTTGCCTTCCTGCCAGGCTTGAGCCACATGTGTCCAGCCTCATAGGAAGAGGGCACAGATCAAGTCAATACCTTTCCCTTCCCATTCTACACCTGAGTTTCCCTGCCTGGCTCAGGCCCAATTAAGCCTAGCTCGCGTTTCACTCACTCCAGACTCCTAGCCTTGAAGATAACCGGAGCCTCTGGCTTCCTGCTACTGGCTCAGACCCTGAGCCAGCATAAGAACATACACTACTCTGCACATCCACTGCCTCTCCTTCCTAACTCTTGCTACAGTCTCTTCTCTACAAAAGGCTCAGGGCCTGGATTACATCACATTATATTAGTATTTAATATATCACTCTCACACCAGTTAGGAAACTTTTCTGACAAGCCTATCCTCTGAAGGCATTTTGCAGTCAGAGTTCAGACTTTCTGTGCCAATATCTGAAGGGCAAGGTACTTTTTCTCATTCCTCTTCTCTGCTGGGAATGTTTAAGGAATCATGTTTTTATCAGCTAGTCTGCCAAGAAAGAAGAGGGACAGCAAGGAGACGTTAAAGGAGTGGTTTCACATTATGGCTAAGTTAATCTAAAAGCCAAATGCTCCTTAAAGGGCCTGTCCCTTTTGTCCATCTCCACCCCTAATATCCCACTCCTCCTTTTGTACCAGTACTGCTCTGACCAAGGGGAGCCATTTCAAAGAGCAAAGTTAGCAAAGCTAATCAATTTTTTTAAGAGAGTTTTCTGCTATTTTAGTTCCCCAATGCAACTTACCACAAAGATGAAGTGACTACTACGGCCAGCCCAAAAGAAGCTGTGGGAGACTACAGCTGAAGGAGAAGGCACACAGGAGGAAAGGGGCCTGCTCCTTCCGGTATCAGCTAGCCACTGATTGCCTTAAACCGCAGCAAGGAACTGCACAATAAATCGCTGTAGAGGAGGACAGGAGTGACTTCATCCAGTAAGTCCTCAGGGTACTTCGGACATCATTTTACAGTTTAAGACTACACTGCAAATTCTGGTATTAGGCTAGAAACTGCATCCATCATAGGGACCCCAAAGACCTTGCCTGGACTTTTAAGCTTTCCTTGTTGCAAAGGCCATTACATCCCAGAGAGCTCAGAGGAGCTCTTGCGTAAGAATCAACATCACCAACCTGAAGGGCTTTTGTTGTCATCAGTCCTCTTCCCGTATCTGAAGCAGAAACAAAGAGGATGCTTATAGTAAAATACAGAAGACTACAGTAAACCGCAGTAAATTAACGTGCCCGCAAGGCAAAACTCTAGAAGAACATACTATCTCTTACAAATCATAAAAGCCACTTATGAAAGGTTCTTAAATGTTAGTAGCATAGCATAGTTTTCAAAACCTCAATTTCTACACGGAATTCTGCACAGCTCTGCATATGTTTGGTAGCAGATTGTCATATAAAGATACTCTTGGATAAAGCTTCAGTATAAGAAACAGTTTACAGAACTTCAAGCCTCCACATACACTCATATCCATTAAATGATATTCCTGTGCATTTGCTAGAAGTCCTTGAAGGAGTAACGGTACCTACAGACAGCCAAGTGTATGATTTAAAACAAAAGTAGAAATCTAACATCTTTAGAAGAATCAGCAATATATACCACCACTAAATAATTAAAACCTTACCCCAGAACTCTGCTGGCCTTAAATTACTGTCTTCAAATCCTCTGTCTTTCAGCCACTTCTTAAGTGTAATATATTCCAGCTTGTGACTACAGTTGACTTAAAAATTTTAAAAAAAAGGTGAATTAATGCTATAAAATATCATTCTAATGAAAAGCAAAATAAATTGAAAAACGTTACTGTATGTCCAGAAAAAAGGTGTTTTGGACATTTTAGCGTAACACAATAGGACAGTAAAAAAGGCTACCCTCTCATCAGCTTGCCAAGTGCTGGACCTCTGGAAAGTGGGAGCTCTCAGAATTCTAGGCGTTATTCAGCACATTCCAAGCCCAAAGAACTTAAGAAGTACGTAGTACTTTTCATTAGTCAGAAAACAGAGCTCACAACACTCACCATGCTCTGACTGGGACTGTAAATTAACGACAGAATCTCTGTACAGAAAAAGCTAACATGTACAAATGTCATCTTCAGAACACAAAGGTGTTTTGACAAATATGCACCTGGACAAACAATTGGTTATTTTATTATTTAGCATTACTTCCATGGATTATACCTCCATCCATAAAACTCTGCAAGCGTTTTCTTCTTCTCCTTCGACCTGTCCGACCTCTGTTTTTCTTCATATTAAGAAACAAATTCTGCCTTATTTAGACAACCTGATTTAAAAAAGAAAAAAAGTTGCCTTAAAAGGTTTCGTGTTCTTTTCACCTAGTGCACCTTTTTTATCTCAATTAGAGAAATAAGAGCACTACCTATTTAATATGTTATTAAGCATATTGCTCTTTAGAGGTTAGAAATTATGCTATAAGCAAACCTCTAAAACGAGGGTGAATGATGGGGATGAGGGACGAGAGGAAGGCTTTATCTCCAGCTGTCATTTGACCAAGGTACAGCCATAGTCTTCTACAGAAAAAGGGATACTGCTATTTATGTACACAGAATGAAAGCATTTTTCAAACAGAAAATGTGCCTGTACATGTGTTTTTGAAAATCAACTGACACATACAGCCTCTGCAGTTTACTCGTTCTAACAAGAATAGCAGAACGGAGATACCTAATCATCTATCTACACGTGAAACAACAATTTTATGCCACATACACACAATCATAAAATCCACCGTCATACGCCACCATCACACTACACTTCAGGTAGTCAACAATTACTCACGTTCATTCAACGCACATAATAAACAAACTGCATCAGCCTTACTGGTTGTAGTTTAGGCTGTAACGGAAGTGTGTGTTTAATTCCCCCCTGCCAACAGCACCGACTGAATTTCAGAACAGCAGCGTTCGCTTGAAACGAGAGCTATCTGAAGAGTCCAGCAAAGACAGCGACACCAGCATACTCACTTCTGCTTCCAAGGCACAACCTCTACAAGCTGCGAGCGCGCCTGAGGATGCATGCCAATTCTCCAGGAAGAGAGGCAAACCTCTCTTCAGGAGAGAGGCTGCTCTTTTAACAAAATCGCTCTTTCCAGCTCGACCTAACTCCTGCTTGCCTGTTACAGGTTTGAGAGATCCGCGTGTGTGGGCAAAAGAGAGAAACTGCACCAGAAAACGCGGTGTTTTACCACCACGTGATCAGGCCTCTCCCTGCATTCCCGGCCTTCCAGACAAACCCCGAGCTGCTGAACTGAAACAAACACTGCTGTGGAGCCATTCGTTGCCCCCCTCGCAAAAGCGCCACCAGAAACTCCCCTTCTCCTGGGCGCAGCCAGCAGCGGCACGGCGGCTCCCGGCTGCCTCCCGGGCTGAAATGGTGGCAGGGTAGACGGAGGGGGGGGCGGAGGCCCCGGCTCCCCCCTGCGCTGGCCCACC